TAGAAGGGTGAAGCTTAATAGGTAAATAGGATGGGAAACATAAGTCAAAAATTGAGTGCATAGTGAGGGGTAGAGGAAGGGGCAGGCAATTATCACAGCAGGGCAGTTCAGGTTACAGTGAAAGCCTGTGAAGTGTAACTAAACGGGAAAGGGGCAAGTACAGGGCAGCAGTCGGTCATAACGGGGGGGGGATGGAGAATGCGTGAGAGGGACTGAGGTGATCGATCTTTACCACGGCAATGCGAGGTTGATCACATGATCCAGCCACTTACAGAGTTCTGATTTTCCTCTGCGTAATGCAGTGGCCTCGGCAAATCATAGGAGACGTCCGGTGGCCGCCCGAAGTACGACCTTAAACGCGGTCTTTTGGTCAACTGTATGGCCAGTATCCACTAAGCGCTTAGTGAGTGAACTCTTAGGTATTTTATTTTCCGCCCCGAGCAAATGAGTTAAGTCGAGACGTCTCTTTAGGAGTCTCCTCTATGCGTTTCTCTAGAAAGCAACTTTAAGTAATACATTATTCAGTTTTTATCGTCCGCACGTTGGATTTTGTTAGTCCTTAAATAATGCTCGCTATAATAAGTTGCTTAGGATATCTTTCTCTTAGGAAAGTTCGAAATATTCAGAATCCTCTACCCAATGTCTTTTATCAAACTAGCTTTTAAAAACTTGTAAAAAGCGACTATCTATCAAAGACCAGCGAACACCATGAGTTCAGTAAAAAGGACCAGTCGCCACTCAGTTATTTGGTGTGAAGTGGGCATATATTCATATCCTTCCTTAAAGAATTCATGGCATTATCTAGGCTACAGCAGCCTTTACATTTTCTTTCATACGAAAGCAAGGGGGGACATAATAAAGAACAAAATAAAAGCATATAACTTACGAAAGAAAGTTTTGGATGCTTGCACGACTACAGGCAGACCAACGAAAGGGATAGTATTCGAAATTGAGAATTCCGGACATTAGCGTGTTTCGTTTCGAATGCCTGCTCGAAGAGTTGTTAAAGCCCTGGCTATGAAGCCAATTACTCACTGGTTGGTTGGCCCCGGAGTGCTGGGAGTTTTCGGCGTGACCGCACTCAGAGCCAGTCTCGAAGTCATGTTTTGCACCAAGTCTAAAGAAGAAGGTATAATTGACAGTTTATTGATGTCACTAGGAGAGATGTGATGACAGAGTTAGAATTGAGAGGCTATACACGCGATCGCTGAGACCAAAACGCGAGTCGTCTGACGTTTCGGATTCCAGCTCGAATTCGTATTCGGAGACAGCATCGGACACATGTATTTGTACACAGAGTTGCTGTATTTCTAGAATGCATTGCTA